TGGACATGAGGTCCAATAAGGTGAAGTGCCAGTCCTGCACTTGGGTCGCAGCAACCCCATGCAGTGCTACAGGCTGGGGGAGGAGTGGCTTGAGAGCTGTTCAGCAGAAAGGGACTCAGGGTTGATGGTTTACAGATGGCCCAATATGAGCCAGCAGTGTGCCCAGGTGGCCAAGAAGGCCACAGTGTAGCCAGCAGGAGCAAGGAAGTGATCATCCCCCTGTACTTGGCATTGGTGAGGCCGCACCTCTCTCACAAAATCCCAAAGTACTGTGTGCTGGGAAATCAAGCACCACACTGAAAAATATCACATCCCCACATCACTCTCCATGTGAAAGGACCCCGTGGTACCAAACAAAAGACGTAACTCCACCATGGACCTGCACAGCTCTGCTCTGCCACGGACTCTCTGCATGCAGCACAGAAATGCTGGCAAGATCCACCTGCAAGCACAACGCTGTCCTTTGTGGTAGAAGACAGCAGGTAGAAGGCCACTGCTGCACTGCCTACTCCCATCTGATGCAGAAACCCAAACCAGCTTCTCAGGAAAGTTAGGGAATTTGATTCATTTCCAATTACAGATGACTTAGAAAAAACTTGTCTAAATCTTTCACCAGCAAAGACAAAACCATTTATAAAATGTGGAGATTCTTTTAAGTCCCCTAAAATCCAGAAAAGGATGAACAGGAGGAAAGAACTAGGGCAATCTAAGCCATTTGTTAATAAATCTGGAAGAGTTTCTTGCAAAATGTGATTAGGTATGAACTATGCTTGTGGTGTCTAAAAGAGTTAAGAGCCTTTGATTTTAAGGCAGGTGTATCAGGAGAAGATGAGCCAATGTCAGTGATAACAGCAGTCTGCCATCTCCCACAAGGTTTTTTCCCAAACCCCTGTTTTTGCTCTACCCTGGTAGTGGATTAAAAAAATAAAACAAACCACCCTCAAAAGTAAGATATTTCTGGCAAAGCCTCAACAGCTGAATTTGGATGGAATGACCCAACAGATGTGATTTATGTTTTTTGTTTTGAAGTTGACCTGTGGGAACGTGGCACCTCTTTGCTTGCAGTGCAGATGTAGCTTTATAGTACACTGGAGCCTCAGCAAAGCAAAACCACTGATGGGGTAAAGTGGCAGGAATTTGGGGGCAGGGTGTTGGTGTTAATTGTCCCTGGGGCAGTCAGTCTCCATGAGAGCCTGGCAGTCACAATCCTACATCCATCAATCTGTTTTTTAAGCCTTGTGGACAGCCAAGAACCTCATACACAGATTTTCCTGAGCCCCAGAGCTGGTGGGTGGCACCTTAGCAAAAAAAAAAACCTTCCGGGAGGGATGCTGTCTGGGCTTCTGGGAAGCCAAAATGATACCTCCCTGGAGGGAGCGCACAGCTCCGGGGACTGGGATCTATCTCCTTGCTGGTAAGATTTAGGCAAGTTTAGTCCTGGCTACAGTCAGCTTTAAAAGAATCTCTCCTGGTTCTGCTGTTCATAAGCTCTGCAGCCTGTGGGATGGTTGCTGCAAGGTGCTGAGCCCTCATCTCCATAAGAAAAACCACTGCATATTCCCAGTGCTGGGAAAAGACTTTCATGGAGCCAGTGGAGCTTTAAACCACATTCAGATCAACAGAAATAAAGCAGACTGCTTGGCAAGCCAGCAAATTTACCCTTCACAGAGAGAGGCCCTCAGTTTCCACCTCCAGGAGGTCTTTGTAGGTAGGTACAAAGCAGCACCAGTTCCCTGGAGAGTGAAACACTGTCTCTGATGTCTGCTGAGAGCCGCTTTGTGGTACGCTGACTGGGCAAGGACAGGCACTTGGCTTCCACCAGGAGAGAAGTGAGCACAACGCACAGACAAATCCTTGACCAACAACAGCAAAACCACCAGAAGACCCCGACCCTGCTGGAACCAGTATCGGGGACTTCAAATCATTAGGCCTTTGCCTGTAATGAGGCAACTTCAGCAGTATTTCCAGCAGTTACGACACGTCTCTCAAAGCAGGTATTTGCTGGTAGCTAATGATAACAGAGACTCGGGGGTATTTGTCCCTTCTTGCACTGGTTAGGCAACAAGTCCGTGCCTGGTATTTTTCAGCTCAGAGATCGTCGTGCCAGAAATCCGGATAGCTTTTTTGATGGGGGTTGATGCTTTGAGGTTGTTTTTCTGCCTGGCTTGAGCTGAGCCATGCAACCCTAATTCTTTTTGCCAGCTGCCTTTGGAGGGCAGTGGGTACCACAGTCCTCCTGCCCCAGGTCCTAGCTGGCAGTAAACAGCCTCAGTGTGTGCACTGTGTGCAAAATGAATTTCAGCCTGCATTCCTGAAGCCACCAACTCCATAAAGAGGCTCTTCTGAACATCTGTGCACAGCTGTGTGACAGCAGCGACAGAGGGCAGCTCCCCAGCTGTCAGAGCAGCCTCCCATCCTGCCAAGGGTCCACCAGAGGAGGCATCCCTGTACTAGGCTCTGCATCTGGACCTGCCCTACCTGCAGGACCTGGCAGCAGACTTAAGTGTGGCTGCATTTTCACAAGCAGAGAGCAAAGGGACAATCCATTTAAAGGCAATGTTGGAAAACAGATGGAAAACTTCACAGCATCCATCTCCTGCATCCTCAGCCCTGGGATTAGCTACAAAGAGGCTGCTGGGGCACACGGGTAGAGACAGGATGTAGGTAGTGGCTCCCTAACAGGGAGCAGGGCAAACCCAGAGCCAGCTGTGAGTGCAAGTGTGAGAGCAAAGTAGGAGCTCAGCCAGGAGAGAGCACCCTGGCATCACTGCTTGCTCCCCCAGAGCAAAAAAGCAGGCAGCTTTGCTGTACCCTGCCGGCACAGCACTATGGCAGCCAGGCAGCTTCAAGGAGTTGGCAATCAAGTAGGATGCCTTTTTCCAGACATCCCCAACGGTCCTGCCCACATGCAACCCACTCCATAAAGGACTGACTGGATCCCTGCACCTGCCAAGTGCACATATATCAAGGGTTATTTCCGTCCTTTCAAATTCCTCTCAACTGTGTCTTCCTTTGCCCTCCAGCAGGAAGTTTTGGCTGCAGTGGAAATACCTTTTTCTGCATAGCTTCACGATTTTTCTACAAAGAACACAGACATCACATCTGAGAAGTCTGGGAAACAACCAAGGACAAGGTCAAGGCGAATTATGCAGGGCCAAGAATGGGCTCATTCCTTTTGCTATTTAAAAACAAAAGAAACATCCAATCGGACATGCAAAACAAGCCCTCCCTCTCCAGGAACAACAAAAAACCCCCCAAAACCACTCCCCCCTGCCAAAAAGGGCAATCAAACACAGTTATGATCCACTGCTGGAAACATATTTTTCTGGATCTCTTCTCAGAGATTCTCTTGAAAGGCTGCTCACTCTTGGACCCAAAGGATGTGGTCCTTATAGTCCAGTGAGGGAAAGCAGACATTTCAGAGCCAATCTGCCATAAGCAGGAAGCCCGAGTGCCCTGTCACCCAAGAACTTCTTTCTGTGTAAAAGATTTCACACAAATGACTGATGCAAGCAGGATCCTGCCTGTTTGTGGTCTCCCTGTGCAGGATTCCAGCTTAGATAGTGCCTTAAGAAGATCATATCCATTTGTGGTGGGAAATGGCAAAAGCTAGAACTTCCACTCTTTGACTCCCACAGCATCCAGGTTCTTCTAGAAACCCAGAAAACTGCTGTCTCCTATCTGGAAAGATACTGGAAAAGGCTCTACACCCTGTGGGGATGATTGGATGGATGTTCTCTCCTGTCATTGTTTCAAAATCCGTATAGAGATTACAGCTTCCCACCCCTTCCCACCCAACAGTCCTAACTGCCAGGAGGCCCTTAGGGCTACAGAAATACTTCCAGATGTCTACCACATGTGTGGGATGAGTCCTCGCTTCTGTTGCAAGTCACAGAGCAACACATATCACCAGAAGGTGGTCCATGGCACAAGAAAGGTTCATGCAGCCAAGGGAAATCTCAGAAGAATTGGTTGCATCACCAGTGCTGAGCAGCCCACATCCATCCTGCTCCCTTCCCCAAAATGCTGGGTCAGAGCTCTTCCAGCAGCAGGAGCCAAAAGAAGAGCAGCTCCCCAGAGTGATGGAGGAGGGCACATTTTGCCAGTGGCTCAGCACCACATACTCCAGTGACGTTCTTAAACAACAGGTAACAGCCTGTTTGAGGCTGGCATGTCAGTGGCCTCCCACCATCCTCTGCCCAGCGGCTCATGTTTGCAATGACCTCATCAAACTCTGTCTCGAAGCCCCGCCAAGTTAATGCAGATGCAGTATGGGATGAACACAGGGAAGTGAAGCCAAGGGTTGGGACAGTATCTTAAGAATATCCATACCTGTTCTACAACAAACTCCCAGGTGACTTTGGGCAAGACAAGTGAGAACACAACCTTCTTCTCAAGTATACACCTGAAGCATGACCTCAGAATCTTTCAAACCCATCTGCTCACTTGTCTGGGCCGGCAGGACCAAGTAGCAAAGATTTTTAGGACTGCTTTTTAGGACTGCTGTGACCATCTCCTGAGTCCGCTGGGCAGGAAGTGCTCCTTCCAAATAGCAGACAGAGGCATGGACTGAGACCTTTCTCATCTCACCCCACATTACCCTGAGGGCTGAAACTCCTTCCCTCCAAGAGTTAACACTATACCACAGTGTTTCTGGCTAATATGTAAGCCTGATGTTTTGCACAAGGTTTGTGAAAAGCCACACAGGCCATTTAATGGGCAACATCAAAGCACATAACCTAATCCTTACCCAGCCTTTCGTGCCTTCCTTAGGAGTTTTGGAAACATTTTTTTGCAAACATACTTGGCCTCAGTTATGGGAAGAAAGCAAAGGAGGAGGTGGAGGTTGTGACCTGCCCATACTGTGTTTATGAAAACACTCCTCCACTAAAACAGCACTGGCGCTGCAATACTGTCCTTGAGACGTTCAGTATATGGTTTGCCTGATATGTCCCATCCCTCCTTCCCTCCCTCACTCTGTCCCTCCCAGCCAAATGCACTCTCAGAAGCCAGAATTTCTAGTAGAGGCTTTGCAGCAGAACAATTTCTTCCTTGAGCACCATCCCTAAGAAAAAGCTTAGGATGAATCAAGCTCCTGGCTAGAAATGTTTCAAGTGCAAACCACTGCATGCAGCTCACAGGAAAGTCACTGCTTGTTTTCATTTTGAACCAACACAAGCCAGTGAATTTCTGTTGCTTTCACATCCATTTTATCATTTCCTTTCCTCGCAGGTTGCAACGTTCCTGGTCAGAACTCTCCCCTGGATAAGCTCAACCCTTTTGTCCCATCTCACAGGAGCGCAAATTGCAACCTGCAAGGCAAAGTACGAAAAGCGGGGCCGCGTAGTTCCAGCGCCGCTGGAAGCCAACAGCGAGTGCCCAAGTTCCTTTGCACTTCTGTGGCTGGTCTGAAGTGTCACTCCAAGTTTAGGCAGCGCCACCCGACTGGGACTCTCCGGTCCATTTAAGGTGGGTCTGAACTCAACTTCACTCTACAAAGGAGCACCCCGATGGGACCAAACAGCAAGGAGGAGCACTCGGGAGGCGCAGCTTTTTCCCCGTGCAGCCGGGCGGCGGAGCGGACATCCCCCCCTCCCGCGCCCCGCTCCCTTCCCCGCACCTTGCTCGCAGGCTCCCTTGCTGCGCTGGCTGATGGCGGGCTCCCCGCGGCTCTGTGCGCGCAGGCTGGCGGCGCGGAGCTGGCAGCCGCTGCCGTAGGTGAGCCCGTCGCTGCCGCACACCGGGTAGCGGCTCTTGCAGAGGCACACGCCGGGCGGGCCGGAGGCGGGGAGCCCCGGGCCGCTCTTCGCCTTGCGGCGCTGCCGGCTCTTCACGCACTCGAGTCCCGGAGCGCAGCGTCCTCCCGCGGCGCCGCCGCCGGCCCCGCACGCCTCGCCCTCGCCGCGCCCGCACTGCCAGCAGCACCCGCAGGCGTCCCGCACCCGGCCCAGCGGGCACCCCCGCGCCGGCAGCGCCGGGCATCGCGCCGGATCGCAGGGCCCGCAGCCCCCCGCCGCCACCCCCGCCGGGGCGGGCACCGCCAGCGCCGCCGGCAGCGGCAGCAGCGGCAGCAGCAGCAGAAGCATCGCGGAGGGCGGCATGGCGGCACGGCGCCGCCCGCCCCCGGCTCCCGCTTTAGCCGGCGCCGAAGGGGAAAACCCCTCCCCGGCGGCGCCGCCCCGGCCACGGCCACGGCCACGGCCCCGGCAGCGGGGCGCCGCCGCCCTCCCGCGGCCGCAGGACCCTCCGCGCCGCCGGCCCGGCCCCCCCTGCGCTGCCCCTCCCGGCTGCCCCGCACTCGGCTCTGGCGTCGCGTCTGTCCCCTCGCTTCTTCTTTCCGCAGAAAGGGACTCGGGGGTGATGGCTGACAGCCGGCCCAATGTGAGCCACCAGTGTGCCCAGGTGGCCAAGAAGGCCGATGGCATCCTGGCCTATATCAGCAATGGTGTGGCCAGCAGGACCACGGAAATGATCATCCTCCTGTACTCGGCATTAGTGAGACTGCACCTCAAGTATTGCATTCAGTTCTGGGCCCCTGATTTCAAAAAGGACATTGAGGTGCTGGAACATGTCCAGCAAAGGGCAACAAGGCTTGTGAAAGGTCTAGAAAATGTGTCTTATGAAGAACAGCTGAGGGAGCTGGGTTTGTTTAGCCTTGAGAAGACACAGGGGGGACCTCGTTGCTCTCTACAACCACCTGAAAAGAGGTTGTAGTGAGGTGGGGGCCGGTCTCTTTTACCATAGCTGCAGTGATAGGACCAGAGGAAATACCCTTAAGCTGAGACAGGGGAGATCCCGATTGGATAGTAGGAAAAAAATTTTCACTGTTAGAGTGGTCAGGCATTGGAATAAGTTGCCCAGGGAGGTGGTGGAGTCACCATCCCTGGAGGTGTTTAAGAGGTGTCTGGATCTCGCTGGTTGAAATGGTTTAGTGGTTTAAGGGTTACCAGTGGTAGTGCTGGGTGGATGGTTGGACTTAATGATCTTAAAGGTCTCTTTCAACCTTGATGATTCTATGATTCTTGCCACCCACCCATGCTTGGCTCACAGCCATCAGCTGCGGGGGGGTGGAGAGGCCCTGGTGAGCCCATTGGGTTCCTGCAGGAGATGAAGAAAAAGAGAGCTGTCCGGTTTCTCTTGTACATACTGGGGACAACATTGTTGCCTGCTGCTTGCCTTAAGCTTACCTTAGCTTGTGGCTCCTGCCCCAGGATGGCTGCTGAAGGGTCCCTGAGGGCAGGGTGCTGTTGCCACTGGGAATATTCCTCAAACAGTGCTGGGCAATGCTCTGTCAAAACAGTGCCCTCAAAGTGCCAAACCAAAAGTGCCACCTGCTGATAAACCCCTCATGCGGGGGCAGCAAGGCAGCACAGGGTGCTCTCTCTGCCCTTGCACTCATTCCCCGCCCTCGGGCCTGCCTGTGACAGTAGGAGCTGCATCTCCTGCAGGACAGTCCAGGACGAGACAATGCTCAGCCTTGGTTCTGCCAGGGCCTGTGTGAGAGGTGCTGCTTTGGCACTCCAGGGTGGAGAAGGACAGAGGTAGTTAGTGTCCCTCGCTGTGAAACTGAGGGATGCAGCACTGCCCTGTATGGGTTGCCAGCGGCTGAGCCCTGCTGGGTGGCCCCCAGGTCAACGTGTCCCTTCCCATGCAGACAGCAGCTGGAGCTGTGACTCTAGCCGGCTGAGAGGGGCTGCAAGTTCCCTGTGTTCCCAAATTTGCTCTGGAGGGATTGACCCACTCATTCCTGTTCAGCTGCTGACACTGTGGGAACAGGCTCCCACTGCGTGCTTCCTTGGCTCCCTGGGGGCCCAGCATGAGACATTCCTCTGTTTCTCCAGGGACCATGGTATCTGCATACATGTTCTTGGATTTCTCCATTCCTCTCTGAAAGTGCTCCTCGCTGTTCTCCTGGGAGAAGGGCTGCCCTCATAAGCAAGCAATACACCAAACTCGAGGAGTTTGACACATTTTGTTGTTGTTGTGCTGTGTTGTGTTTTGCTTCAGTTTGGTTTTTATGGGCAATTCACTAGAGAAGTGTTGATGTACAGAGGGACGCATCCGCCCAATCCAGTTCTAGTTACAAAAAACACTTTGCACAGTACACCTCTTTCCTCTATCTCCCGCCACTTGCCAGGCATCTCCCTCATGGACCCCCAGATTCCTGTTGGTTAGAGTATCACAAGCCCTGATACTCCTGAGCAGAGAATGGCAGGGTGTTTAATTAATCTGCAGTAGCTTACCAGAGCAAGCTTTTTGACATTGCGCTGTCAGCATTCCACTCAGTAGGAGGAAAAATGTACCTCCGAAAGGAGGAAGGACGTCGACACATTCCCTTTACTCTCCTCCCCTCGAACCTCTTCCTTTCCATGTAGGCAATGCCCTTGCCTCTGCTTGGAGCAGTTTTTCTTCCCGGGGAGGAGGCCTTAGTTCATACTTTGGTGCAGAAGGACCTCTAGTGTCCCTTCGGAGCTCGTGCTTTGGCATCACCGCTCTAAGCTCGGTATTTCTCTATCTCAATACCTTCGTATGTACTGTGGAAGGAGATAAGATGCACATACTGCCTGTACGGAAGAGGCTGGGACAAACAAGGCTGGGTTGCTCCTCCCTGGGCAGAAGTAAATTACTGTGAGCAAAGCTCACTTTGCTTTGCTTCTATGGCTCCTCTGCAGCTCTTCCACATCCCTTTTTCTTCACCCCAGGGACCTCCATGTGCCTTTTTGTGCACCACAGGCTGTTCCACTTAAATACATCAGATTAGATGCTCCTGCTGTTTCAATAATGAATTTTCCACTGTGTTTCAGTGAGGGCCAGTAATAGTCTGTAGATTTGTGTTGTGCTTCTTGGGACTTTTGTAGAGTTCCCCACCAAAATCTGTGCTTAGTATTCAGCAGCATAAACTTTTCTTAAGCAGATTTAATTTAATTTATCAGTGGCGGCTATTAGGAATACAACAAAAATTCTCTTATGTGTTTGGATCCGTTTCATCATTCACATGGGTATCCCTTATTTCATCACCAAGATGGTCCTGCATTCATCACTCCAGTGAGACAGTGTGGGAGGTGGGGCAGGCTGGGTGGCCTTTCCTGGTGGGGGAGAAGTTTCCAGGGTCTTTGAAGGCAGAGGGAGATTTAGCAGACGAAAGGAGAGACTGTGTGAGAATGGAAGCAGACAGCTTTTAGATGTTGGCGTATTTCCAAATCGAGCGTTTCGCTTGCGGTTTAGACTTCTCGCAGCCAAGCAACTCCTCTGGATTTGCGCGGGCTCTTACTCGGGATACAGTTGAGCAGCAAAGTAGATCTGTCGACTCTTTACAGGATGGACACGGGCAGGTCGCTCTCCGAACTGAATAATTAAGTCAAACGGGTGCCTTTTCCACATAGAAGACCCCACTCGCCTTCTGGTTTCCCCTCTCCTCCCACCCGGGCAGCAGCCGCCTCCGCAGGCTGAGGAGAGCCAGGAGCCCACCGGAGCCCAGCAGCTCACGCCTTTCCAGCGCAGGGGTCAGAGCTTCCCCGCTCTGAACTCAGCGGTGCCGGGGATCCCTCCCGCTCCTCCTCCCGCTGCCGCAGCCCCTGCCGAGTTTCGGTTTCCATTTCCCCGCCGGGGCGTTCCCGGCGCTGTCCCGGGCACTCCCGAGCTGCCGGGCGGCCGGCGGCCGAGGGATGGCGGGGGGACGTCGGCGGGAGCAGCAGCGGGGCCGGCAGAGCGGCTCGGGAGGTACCGACCGGCGGGAGCGGCGAGGGCGGGAGGGGTGAGACCCCCCGGGATGGGTGAGACCCCCCGGGATGGGTCAGCGCGCTGAAGTTGGAATAATCTGCTAAGCGGCCCCTTGAGAAGGAGGAGCCTCTGCGTAAGGGGCTTAAACATTTCCCAGTGCGCAGCACTCGGAGCGGGGGGGCTGGAAGGAGGAAGACCATGCCGGGGAATAGACAGGAATTTTCCTCTTTAGTTCCATGTTGGAAGTGTGAGGAGGGTGAGCAGTGAGTCTCCAGAGGTGTTAGGGAAATCAGGACAGGCTTTGCCAGTGACCACCTTTCACGCTTGGACATCCTGAGTCTCAGACACTTATGCTGCTGCAGGGCTACATGCAAGTAACTGAGTAGAACAGGTGCCTCGGGGTCAGGAAAGCATCCGCAGCCCCTCAGCTGTAGACAAGAAGGGACTTCCTTCTGCTCTAAATAGCAGTTGTCATTGCTTCTCCAACGTCATGTAAAACGTTTGACTTGAGGCATCCCATCCCCAAGGAGATGACAAATCTGGGGTGGTCAGATGCCTCAGGAAGTGTTTTGTTTCCCCCCAGACACTCTCAATAGATGTGCAAAAATAACAAACTCCGCTTGTGCTGATTGATTTCACTGGTTGTCTTGGGAGCTGGTGGCACAGCAGCCTGAGAGATGGGGAAAGGTCTTTTAGTGGTAACCAGGAGAGTCATCCAGCATGAAACCAAGCAGTGGGTAGGTAGGACACTGAAACCTTAAGGAGCCTGAGAAAATAAGTCATACACGCTTGTTTGACTTTTTCCTGAGAAGCAGAAGCTGTTGCTGAAAACAGTAACACACAGAGGTCTTGGGGAGGGGGCCGAGGTGGTTAAGATGCCTGCTGCCTTAGTGTGACCGCCATGTCTGTCTGTCTGTGTTCTGCAGAGCACACACAGTTGCAGAGGAATGAGGTGCAGTGCTCAAACCATGATGCAACACATTGGCTCATTCTCTCCCATGATGGGAAGGTTTCTGAACACTGGGCTAAACCTCCAGCAAACTGCTCTAAAACAAGGTAAGCAGCTGTCATGGGGTGGAGGTATGGATGGCAATGGTCTGAAAAATGCAGCCTACTTTTCCTAAAGGTAACATCCAAGAGAATGAGTCATGTTTCTGTTGTAGAGAGGGAACTGGAACACATACATTCCTAATTACCAAATCTTTATCTTCTTTTTTAAAACAGCAAGAAGTGCACAGATTTTGAGGTTGATACCAAGGTCTGAGCTGCGCGGGATGCACATGAGACAGGTTTCTCTCAAACTTAGTAAGGATCAGTAGTACATACCAGAATAACGCAGATAACTTGCAAACCACACATGGCTTGGGAAAACTGCGTGTGAAAGACACAAGCATATCTGAACCTTACCACCTTCTGATTAAGCTGTGAGGGTAACCATCATGTACAAATGGCCCAGCAGTTTGCCGTGTGATTTTCTGTTAGCTTGCCCAGGCCTGAGCCTGATTCTTTTCCAGCTTCCCAAGGAGTAAACCACAATCAAATCAGTTAGCCCTGCTGCAGCAGGCCAGCATAAGAGCAAGGTGAATCATCTTAGAGGTGACCTATATTCTTCCACATATTTCCTGCTAAAAGTGATAGGGCTTGGTGAGCAGAGGATCTTCATCCTTTACTTTGTCTTACGGCACAGCATCTATCTGTTTTGACTTTTTCTTTTTCCTTATTTTTATAGGCTGGTGAAAGAACTAGGAAGCCTAAATATTGTTCAAATAGCATGTGGAGGCCAGCATGCCATGGCGCTATCCAGAGGTATCCTCTTTCAAGAACTCTTTTCCTCCAAACAGGAGTCACATTGTGGCAGGCTTGCTCTGAGAAGGCAGTGTTTGTACTACTTCCAGTAGCTGGTGACACCATTATAGGGTAATGAATGGTGGGTAGGGGACACAAAGTGCACTGGCTATCAGTGCTGCCCTTTCCTCCTAGCACCAAGGGACCTGCATCTCTCTGTCTCTCTCCAGTTCCTGAGCAACACCCCTCCACAAAGGTGTGTTGTGGAGAGCAGACTGTGGCTGCCCTACTCTGCAGTCACCGGGTCTGCCCGTTCTTAAGCTGCAACACCTTTCTGGTTGGGAACTTCTTGCAAGTATGACTTTAGAGGTGGAAACACCTGGCCTTTATTCTTACTGTGCTGAGTCACATGGACAATGTGGGACTGCTCCAAAGAGGTCAGAAGCAAATGGAAATTTGGCTATCTATACATAATGGTCTTGTTTTGGAGCTAGTTCCCTGAAAAGAGCACAGAGTTTTGCTACTACTTCCAAAGTGCAAATACTCCAAGGAAGCATTGAGACTGAGCTGGTTTTTTTGTTCTGTGTCTGAAGGAGGTGAACTCTTCACCTGGGGCCAGAACACCCATGGACAGCTTGGACTGGGGAGCCAAGCCACATTTATTCCCCAAGCACAGCTGGTGGAAAGACTAAAGGGCATCCCACTTGCTCAAATTGCTGCTGGAGGAGCTCACAGCACCACCGTGTCACTCTCTGGAGCTGTGTACTCCTGGGGAAAGAATGATTTTGGACAGCTGGGACTCGGAGACACAGAAGGTAAGGAAGGACAGCACTAGGAAGATGTTTTCCTGGTGAGTGAGCTCACCAAGTCGCTCCTCAGTATTGTGAAGCCCCTTTGGTGTAGCAGCAAACAGTGAAGTCTTTTGAAGAAAATATTTCTGGATAAGTTCTCTGTTTCCTGACCAGGGAAGGCATGCAGGAACAAGGGATTTAAGGGTTGTATTTCCGTAGAGAACTCGCAATCATTTTATGTGGCTAACTGGATAGTGTGGGCTTTTAAAACCTCTGGGGATTTAGAGATCTATTTCCACTCCCATCCTCTCTCTGGGAAGTCTTGCATAAAAGAAATTATTTTATATTTTTTTGTCTTCTTTAATTCTTCATAAACACAAGATGAGAGAAGAATTAAAATCACCCATTGTCTTCAAACCGAGAAGGCTACAGAGTTGCCCTAGCCAGATAGAACCTGAAGTCAGCAGAATCTAATCTGAATGAGTCCACACCCTTGAGAATCAGATATTTTGAAGCAAAGTACTGTTTGGCAAGGAAAGAAAACATTGAATTTTGTTTCAAACTGAATGTAAATACAAATAAAATACTATGAAAAAGACAAAACGTTATGAGAAAGAGTATGTTATAGTGGAGGGTAGAAAAACAACCCAAACCCAAGTTGTAATTACATGAATTGCTGTAAGAGAGGGACTGAAAAGTGCTTAAGCCCTCTGTTTTCTAAGTTTTTCTATGTATGAGACCCCACAGTACTCTTACACTTCAGCAGTGCTATCTTCTTTCCAGACAGGGACTGCCCATCATATGTTGGAGCTTTAGAGCACTGGAAGACTATATTTATCTCATGTGGGGCAGATCACACTGCAGTTCTCTCCAAGGTGAGTCTGAAATGGAAAGTCAGCATCTGAGACCTCACTCTGTGAGAAAAGATACACAGCTAAAAGTCAGAGCTTGGAGTGGTAATGCCTGCTTCCATCTGAGTCTGAAGTGATCCCCAAGGGATGTTGACTAAGCTATTGGGAAAACTAGCCTTTTCTCAGATTACCATCACCTGCTTGCAAACTTTTGCAGGGATATGATGAACTGGAATCCTGGAGCAAAGGTATACAGTTCAACTCTCAGTACTTTTAAAAAGTATTTTTTATAGCATATTGGGGACTGGAGAAAATGACAACAATAGCTAATTCACTAGGGTTTATTTATACACTAGGGTTTATTTATCAAATTCTTAAGTGATGGGGAGTTATCCTCAGGAGTTAAATTGCTTTTCTCAGAAGTTAAATGATTTGAACATGACAGGGCATGATTAGGCTTGCTGCAAAGTGAACCCTACCCACGTTTGAATCAAGTCCCATATAACATATCGTGTCTTGCTGGCTCTCACTCTCAGTGGCGACCATTTGAATGTCATTAATAATGCAGTGATCCTGTTGTTTGTTTCTTCATTTCAAGGAGGGATTGGTGTGCACCTTTGGAGCAGGAGGGGCTGGCCAGCTTGGTCACAACTCCACCCGGAATGAACTCATGCCTCGTGTGGTGGCCGAGCTGTGGGGAGCAAGGGTTTCACAGGTTGCCTGTGGCAGGTGGGAAAGTGCCAATAACATGTCTTCTAAGGGCAATATCTTAGGGAAATCACTGAAGAATAGTAGAGGAAGAGTCACCAAGATGTTCAAATCCCTGTACCCCAGTAGGTCAGCGCTGGCAGAATATTGTCCACTCGTCAATGTAAGCCAGTCTCCTGCCAGAGCCCCAGAGAGAGTAGAACCCTCAGCCCATGATGAGCAGAGGGAGAGGGCTGCAAAACCACCAGAAGCCCTTAGTCTTTTGCTCTTCTAATAAACAAAGGGTATACTGGGTTCCAAAGACCAAAAGACTCAAACATCTGCATTGGGAAAGCCACTGAATTCCCATCTGCATTGGGAAAGCCACTGAATTCCCATCCACACTGACAAACTGGTGGCTCCTTAGTAAGAATTGAAGAGCTGTGATAATTATGCAGTTTCATTCTGCCTTTCTGTAACTGGGCCAGAAAAAGTCTCCTGTCAATTTACCTGGGCTTGGTATCAGGCTCAGCAGCACAGCAGTTGTGCTTTTAAAAACGGAAGGGTGTAAAGCTAGCAAGGTGTAACATTATTTTTGTCTGTGGGAACCAACGTAAATCACAAACATTAGAGGCTAATATAGGAAATCTGAGTCTGTATATTTCTTTGCTGCTGAATGCAATGGAGAATTCTAACACTTTTGTTAAAGGGATTCTTTATCTGGACTGTCAGGACTTCTAAATACAAGCCTTAGGTCTTCACTCTGAAAATGTATCTGTAAATTTTATTCTGTTTTGCCCGGTCATTTTTGCTTATTATGAGAATTGTTTGGTGTTTTTTTTTTCCTGAACAGACAGCACACTCTGGTCTATGTCCCTTCTTTGGACAAATTCTATTTCTTTGGTTCTGATGATGAAGGACAGCCAGAAGATGAGAGGAAGCCTAATCAGTTGATACCACTTCCCATCAGTTCACCAGTGAATACTGGAAACTCCTGCCAAAGTAATAACCATTGCAGATGTAATCGATCCATATTTGTTTCTTCCAGGGAGGGAGGTGTTTGCTTTCTTGATTTCATGTTTAAACTGAAAGGCAAATATTATGTCTCATGCTTACTTGGCCTTCCCAGCAAATTCTATGACAAATTATTCCATTCACTGCTTGATTTATCATCATAGGTAATGGCCACATAGGATCAACTTTTAGACAGATAACTACTATCTGAGGGGTTTTTTTAATGTTCCACTTTTGTGCACTGAACTCTCTGAAGATAATGACTCTCTTCAAATGTTCATATGAAAATATTTTTATTCTTTCACAGAAAATAACACATCACAAAATGGGATTAAAATTATGGCAGGAGTAAACCGAAGTTTTGTCCTTTGCAAGGAGAACCAGGTATGTGCACATTTGATCACAGCTTCCCACTGTTCACAATACTGCTGGAAACATTTGGATTTTCCATTGTGCTTTTAGCACTCCAATTTCATATATGTCTATTGCAGTTTTTTCTATGCTTACCTCGAAACTATTTTGTATGGCAATTATGTATGTTCTGTGGCTAATGCATCTGGATGATGCTTGATGACCATTAATTTGTTCATGCTTAGGCTGAACTCTTCTTGTAAAGATTGGCTTAAAAAATAAGAATTCCATCTTCTAGACCTTTTATCTTGTTGATGTTTTCATGAATTTCACACAGAATTCCTATTTGAATGGAATTGCCACTCTGGAGAATAAAAAAGTGGATGACTGGATTTCTAATTCCAGTTCAAAAGTCCAGTTCGAGAGGATAAAAAAGTAAGTCAGAAACCTGTTTTTGGGTTTGGTTGGGTTTTTTTCCCTGATATATGATTTTTTTCTAAAAGTCATTATTTTTTGGAGACTGTTATAGGAACTGTTGTTCAAGAATTTAGCCAAGACACAATCTTGTACCAGCAATTCTCACCTAGTTTTTGCACAGGAAAAAGAGATGTTGACAAGCAACATCTTTTCAATAACCTTTTTGCAGGAACAGAGGAGATGTACTGCCTGGCTTCAGAAGCCTCTCCTCTTCTTGCACAGAATGGTCAAGTTGATGAAGAGCTAACAAATTAAATCAGTGAAAGATTCTGTCTGTAGACCAAGGCCTTGTGCAAAAATCACAATCCAGAGTACCCAAACCGGATTGTTTTGTCTGCGTCAGCATTTAAAAATCAGTGATCCTTTCTTTAATTATCCATTTTCAAAAGCAGTTAGTATATACTGCTGTAGGATGCCTTACACCTATGTTTGAGAATTATGATTGTGTTAGTCTTTTTTCAGGTCTTACATGGGAGGTTATTTTCTTTGGGAAAGTCTGACTCCAGCTGCTGACTTTGAGCATTTCAAAATCCTGGCTAATCTGGAACTAAATGTTTCCCTGACCACTTTTAGAACAGTTTGGATCATATGGAAAGTGGTTGTTGAGAGGGTGAGAAAGGGAGGGTTCTTTCCAGATCTCAATAAGAAGGGCTTGACAGCAAATTGCTTGATAAAAGAGCTGCTTCAATAAGAAGATAACCAAGAATACAGGTAGTGAGTAAATCTAACATCCTTCAGATGCTGGGAACCCAGCTTTTGTGCGGCGGTAAATTGATAGCCTGATGGATTTTCCCTCCACATGCTACAAAGATCCTGTCAATGGAGGGGATCCTCCTCCCTCCAATGCCTTTATATATAACAGATAATGTTCAGACCTGTCAGGAGAAGATATCTCCATGATAACATCCACCTGCATGCAATTAACTGGCATGAGGCACTTGAGCAGGTTCCCTTACAAGGCCTAGGAGAGCAACAAAGTGGTAATAAGACATTTGTACAGTCAGGTGCAGAGACACTTGTACACATGTTTTCTGTTCTCTCGGAATTAAAACCCTGAAGTTGAAAGGATTGACTTTGGTTTGTCTTTTACTATCAGGAATATCAGACTGATCTTCTCATCTGAGGCTTGCATCAACGGAAGCTTCCTGCAGAAAAGGTAGCGTGCCCTGACTTAGACACAACAGAATATATTGGCTGCATGTAAACTGACCAGAAAGTGTTATTTTAGACCACATGTGTAGAAAAGATTAGTCTTATCTGAATTTGCAAGAAGTGAGTCTGTATTTTTCAAAGCCAAGCTAAAATTTTTTTACACCCCCCAGTCCTATTGAATTTGCTAGAGAAGCTCACATTCTAGAAGATTATCCTGTTGTGATATTTGACAGAATAATCCCTTTAGGCAATATTACAGCTTTCAAAGGATCCATAATACTTCCTCCTAGCACTGAAGTGGAAGTGATTTTAAGGTGAAATACAGGAAGTCTACCATTAATAGTTCACAGCCACACGAGACAGGAAAGACAGGATATTAATCAGGTCGCAAAACAGTGACCTGTGTTGTCTATCTTCTTAGAACACATTAAATTATACCCATTGGAGCTAGGGCTGAACTTTCCAAGTATTTTCTCATGTTAAAATGCTTCACCATTCAGTTGCTAACAAAAAACAGCTTCTTACATAATTTGGTGTTCTCTTTTTTTCCTTTGTGATAGAGACAAACATTTCAAAACCTCCAAAGAATTCTCAGGTGTAGACATGTCCGAAGTGAAACATTTTTATAAGAAGATCAGCGAGATGCCAAAGCTCTTCCAGGAGGTAAGGATTTGATATAAGGATTCTCACTACACAGATACTGAGGAGCTCTGGATTTGTGCATAAAACTTAGGAATTTCATGCCAACCCAATTACTTTGGCAAAACAAAATTGCATTTTAACCCTTGTCTCTTTTTTTTTTTTTTTTTTGCCTCTGAAGGTGCAAAAGGAGGTTGATAATTTACTGCCATCACTGTCTTCCTCTCCCATCTCACCTGAAAATTTCAGAGTCTACTTGATCTTGCCTTTCATTCTGCAGGGGAAGGATAAAAGCTGTTACCATTCACTGAGGCTTCTAGCACAAGCCATCATGAAGCTCCAGCCAGAGGACCTGCAAACTCTTGGTAGAGTTTTATGATAACAGAACTGAATGATTTAAATGCTTGGTCATTTTCTGCTGCAGAACAAGAGTTAGCATTGCTGATGTAGCGTGTTGCAGAACTTGAAATAATTGCTGCTGATAGATGCAGAAACATGGGGACTATGCAGCAAGACACAAGAATGAAAAAATTCTGAAGTTTACTAATTTTGGTAGTCCAAAATTAAGCAATTTTTTGTCAAGTTTATTTGATAAAAAGATAAAATGCAGCTTCATCCACAAATTGCAGTGATTTACATGTTACATGTCACCTCACTAGCTGTTCTCTTTACAGAGTGCCTGTGGTCAAATCTGGAAACATCCTCTTTCGAGGAGCTGGTCAGTCTGTATCAGAGGGTTTCCCAGGATAACCTGTCTCAATTTATCACGGAATTACACACTTGTGGGCCAAGAGACCCCTTCAACCTGTACCCAGATGAAACAGTGCCTCTGCAAATACTGCAGATGCTTTACCAGGTAAGAAAGTACTTGGATCCTCACTAGACAGGATGTATCAATATGGCTTCGCGTATTTTAATCCTTTTCACTTATTGAATTCTCTGGGTTCCCTTCTTACAAGGGAACATGGGGCCTTGTCATTTGACACTGCTTCAGGAATCTCTTTGGCTCTACACCAGCATAGCTTTGAAGGAATCCTGCTTGAGTTGTGCCTAACTTACCCTCTGTAGAAATGAAGAGCTAAAGCAAAGCGTGTTACAGCCCTGCCAGGGGGAGGCTTCAGTGGTGTGAAGAGTGCATGCACCGATGCCTACAGAGCTATGGATGGGGTGTCCCCTACATAGCATGCCCGTTTGCCTTTCTGCTGGTGAGATCCGTCACCCCAATAACCGAATTTAAAAGACAACCTACCTGCTTGGCATATTGTGGCTGTCACAATAATGCTGCATGATGCTTTAAGAGCCTGTTACCTGAGAAATTCTCTGGAACAACAGTATTAGAGCCTCTTTAGCTGAAAACAAACATGGGGAACAAAGGGAGCGGTAACTGTATTCTTGACAACCATCCTTTCTCCTGCGGAGATGTTCAAAGTTTAGGGAAGTCAAGAGCTCAAGCACACAGTATGAATCAGAGAAGAGTTGTTAAATTTTGTTCAGAACTGAATATCCTTGTGGCTGAGACTGCAGATTTGGTCCTCGAAGTTTAGACTGTTGAATCTGTATTTATCCAGATAAACAAACTCAAAAATGCAGCAGGCCTTCTCCTCTATGATTACATCATTTGGAGCTTTACATGTTCACTGCCCGTCCGCAAATATCTTTGCTAGTCAACAAGTATGAAAATGAATAGGGAACTACAGAGTGTTCTGCAGCATGAAAGATACTCAAAGGGAAACATACCTTTCCTGATCGAGTCCTGTTAAGGAATCTTTGTAAATGAAAATTGCTTTCCTGCTAGCTTATACATGGCTTTCGAGACTTCTCACTGTGGGGCGCTGTGCTACTCGTAGCAATTCTATCCTTTCACTTCTGTTCAGGGTCTCAGAGCTCTTTCTGCAGAAAGTCCTGTCAGTCCTGTCCTGCCACACAGATGCACAGCTCACTGGATCTGCTGCTGACATATTGTGTGTATCAATGCAGGTGAACTCCAGAACTGGTTTCAGAGTAGAAGAAAGCAACTTCTATGTACCTCTTGTGAAAGAGATTATCCACTTCTGTCAGTTCTTTAATAGAGCAGTAAGTATAAAATTTTACCAGCAGTGCGAAACACTCTTTCTTTTCTCTTTTATTTAAATAGTCGTTATATCTCTCTCTAGGTATAATTATATAGATATAGATATGAAAGGCAACTCTAGACTCTAACCCATTACATCTCAAAGACAATGCATTTTCTCTAGCAAGCCCTTTACCATCCAGTATTTTAGCAGCTACAATAGTGCCTTTCCTGAGATGACCCCTGGTTCTGAGAGTTGGAGCTGTCCTCCAGTGTCCTAAGAAACTCTGTTGGCTTGGAACTAGTAATCACTGTGAAAAAGCACCATGAGAGATGGTTGCTATACTTCTTGTTACTCTAGATTTTATTATGTTTTATTAATAGAAATATTGTGTGGTGTCTTTAAGCTTTTGTTTAGAAACCATATTTCAATTTACTTACATCTTAAAACCAAGCCATGATAATAAAAATAATCTGTCAAATGGTTTATTTCTTGATGACATGGAGTGAAAATTAGCTACCAAATGCAGTCAGTGTCACAGGAAGCAGGATGAAATGCAAATGTGGATAGTAGGGCCTTCCTTAGGCAAAAAAACTGTAGCTTCCTGGCAACTTGCCTGGAATTCGTAGGGCAACTGCCTCATTCCTTCATAAGCTTTAGTTTGCTAATGTACCAATTTTGTACCAATTAACCAGAGTGGAGGAGAAGGTTTGGGAAACAGCATAGAATCAAAAGCCAAATAGGAAATGACCTGAAGTTGCTGCCTTATCACACTGGAGGTGTAACACTTTGAATTAAATTATATTTATACCAGTATCTACTTTTGGTAGTACAGATAATATAAAGTCAGCAGTTTTTAAAAACAATGTACCATAACCTGGGTATCCAGGACATTTTTATTATGTGTTTTGGTTTAGCTGAATTCAGCTGTTAAAATCACTTTCTCTCTGTTTTATTCTTGGTGTCTGTCTGCACAGACTGGTTAGATGCCTCTCTGTCAGTGTTTCTCACAGAAGTGTGTAGAAGCTGTTTTTAGGAAGTGTACTTCTCCCAGTGTAGTGCTCATGCACACAACCAGGGCACATCTCGGAGATATGGGAGTTTGCCAGGGTACAGGCCAGCGGTTCAGTCTCCACACGTACCCTGGAACTGGTTTCTCAGGGGAAAACCAACATGTCTTTTCCTTTCTTACTTGCCATTTCAGATAGCCCTATGGAACCTGAGCAAGTACCCATGCATCTTTGACATGCAAGACAGGATCGCCATTCTTATAACAGAACGTCAGGTTCTGTGCGCAGAAGGCAGCACTCTGTCCAGGACCTCTACTGAGGTAGGTGTGGCCAGTTTTGTTACAAATTAGAAGAGATAAACACACTGCCAACAACTGTTACTTCAATCCTCAGATAATCCTTACATACACGGGAAAACAATGGGAATTTCACGTCAGAAGAGAGTGCTTTCTGCAAGACATATGGAACAATTTAGAATGTGCCTCAACCCAGGAATTCAGGAAGATCTTAAAGGTAAGATACCAAATTGTATTATTTGTTAGCTCTAAATATCTCGCTGCAGTGTTCCTTGATTTTCAGTGTGATTGAAGTATTGGTAGAAGGGTTTCAGTATTCTCTGAGCATACAACAAATGAACTATTCTTCAGATTATTATACAACATGTTCCATAAGTGGTGTAGAGTAAATCTGGATGGCAGTATCTTACATTGTTATTCCAGGTAGCCATCAAGCTTTGTTGGCGTAAGTTAAACGCAAGTGGCAGTGCTATTTCCTGTGAGGTTGCTTTGGGGTAATGTAATAGGATTGCTCAGGAAACTAGACTTGTCAAAGTCCAGTACTATTACTGCTAGACTGACTTTTAGACCCCATGCTAGTTTGCTGCACATGAAAACCCCAGTGGCTGGGGAACCAGCCTTAGCAGCCAGCAAGCAACACAAAAAGCCACAAAAAGCCATTTCTCTCATGAGATGCTGTCTGAAGGGAAAGGAAGGACAGTGCCAGCGAGAGAGATGGCAATCTGATTATACTGCTGCTGTCTCCATGTGCCTTTAATCTGTGGCTTCCACACAAACCCAGAGGTTCTGGCAGTTGTATTTCCTGCAGGAATCACAACGCTACCCTGCGTTGCAAAACGCTGGGTGACGTGGGAAGAGGGCACCTGCCCAGAGTGGAGCTCAGCTCAGGGACCATGTGTCCTATCAGTCACTAACACAAAGTCTGGCACCACACCTGTGTCACAGGAGCTATCGACCCCGGTGCCCTATTGCCCAGTTCTGGTGCTTTCCAAGTGAGCCTTCTTGCCAACAAGAACTGTCAAAGCTTTTCCTTCCCATACACTTAGGAGAAGATTCCCAATGCCCCCTAGAGCTACCTTTCCTTCCTGCTTCCTCACTTCACCAGCTGAGAGAGGCATTTATTTACAGAGGTAGTGAGGCTTGAGCTCTGTACTGTCCTCTAGATCTCAAGTCTCCACTGACTGTACAAGCTCTGACAAACAGCTGCCCTTAGTGAAGTCAGCCTTCAAATGCACCTACTGCAAGCATTGTCTTTCACACTGCACATGGCAGCATTATTTGCAGCAGCCTGATAATTTTGACTGCACTGTTAAGTCACCCGCCCAGAGAAACTATGGTCTGCAGTATCTACAACTTGCTGCTGCGTTTCTGCATTTTTCAGCAGGTAGAGGACATTAATGTGTTTGTGTTGCAGACATAAACCACTCAATAGCAAAACATAAAAAAGAAACCTTTATAACAGATTATCATAGCATTGACCTGTCCCCTTCATAGCTGTGTCCAGCTAGGAGTTTTTTCAGACAGTACTGAGAACTTGGCATGTGACACCCTCACAGTGGTCTGCCACCCCATTCTCTAGTGTTGCTGTAAATGAAAATAGGGAAGGTTGAAGTATTTAGCAGAAGTATCTCCTGTTCCCTCTCTACTGAGCAGGAGATGGTGCAAAGGGAAAGGATATTCTATGTACTTAAAAAGCATTTTTGTAGCTGTTGACTGGGCTAACAAATTCTGGGCTCAGTTGGGAGTTATTTTTCCACTAACCTGTCAGGAGATGCCTCTTTAATGAAAATGACCCAACCTGGCTATCAAACTTGTGTACTCAGATATATTTAACACATAGTACTGGGACACACATCTCCTAAGCAGACACTGGAATGTGTTGGAGGCCACTCTAACAAAACCCCCAAATGCACAGGTACATCTGTTCTGCAGAGCTGTCATTTACCCACCTTTTTCTTAAAAAAAAAAAGAAAGAAAAAAGCAGCAGCCACTGCACATACAGACATGGGTATCATCCAAGAAATTTCTTCATTTATGTGAAGTCCCAAATTTTGTTACAAAACACCAGCCTAATTTATTTTAGTTAATGTTCTTCTGACAGTGAGTCAAATATATTTCAGTACATACATCAGGTTAAAACAAAACCAAAGTTCTTAAAGACTGCATATTTTATTTTAGTGTATTATTTAAGATCAGTTTTCTCAGTTAGGGTACAGTTATCCCTCATGAAAACAACTTCCACCTAGGTGGTTTTCATCAGTGCCACTACAAATGCACAACAACACTCTTGGAGGGATACAACAGAGGGAATTAGTGCTTCTTATGACTCCTACTCTAAATCTGCCTTAGCAGTAGGTAACAATGGGCTGCTGCTTCATACAGTTTCAGATACTACTAGGAAAATGATGACAGTCCATAGTGCCAAAGGGAACTCTCCAACGAACTGCAACACCCGATGAGATTAAACCAGCTGCGTTGATTCAGAGAAGCCCAGGGGTTAGCAAACGCATCTCACTAGTTGTGCCTAAAAAGCTTAATCCCCATCCAGGTCCAAAGGTGAAAGAACACATAAACCGGTATTGTAACAGGAAGGAGGAGACTGTAGAAACACAGGCTGTTCGTGCTGGTGCAGCCCTGTGGGAAGGCTTCGTCCACGCTGGCTGAGTAAAACAAGCCTGCCAAGGACAGGAGGGGAACGAGCACAGTCAGAGTGGGCAGGGAGGGCAGCATCCCTCCCCCGGCCATCAGTCCCAGCTACCGCTGTGCCTGGCGGGTCCTCAGGGCTGCTCCGAGTCCTCGGCCGGAGGCTTCTTGTGCGTCATCCTGGCAGCCTCCGGAACCATGTTGGGGATGCCGTCGATGATGGGGTACGCGATGCCCAGCTCCTCGTTGATGAGCTCGTTGGTAGCTTCTTCGTACCTGGACGGGCAAGGCGAATGGGGGGGAAGGGGGAGATAAAACAAAACAGAAGGAGGGGTGAAAAACCTGGGTTCGCCCTTAGAGAGCCCCCCCCGCTCCACGCGGGGCTGCAGCGGGCCCAGGGCGGGCAGCGAGCGCAGCTCCCCCGGCCCGCCCTCACCTCAGCGGCTTCTTGGACAGCGGGCACACCAGGAAGCGCAGCAGCGACGGCTCCGGCGGCTGCGGCCGCGCTGAGCCCGAGCCCTGCTCCTGGATCCTGGATCCCGGATCCCGATCCCGGTGCTGTTCCCGGCTGCCTGCCGCCGCCCTCCGCAGCAGCCCCGCCACAGCGCGCCCGCCGCCCCGCAGCATGGCCGCCGCTTCCGGCCCCGCCCCCGCGCTGTGCCGGGAGCGTGTGAGTGCCGCAAAACGGGGAGTGTGCCAAGGCTGTCTTAAGGCGGGCTGTTCCTTGATGTAAGGTCTTTCCGTACATTCAAGCCTGAACAGCAAGAAAGGAGACCTGATCAGTGGAGCAGGCAGCAGCCAGCATTCCCTAGTCAAGGACATCCGGGAACTCGCAAGCTTTAAGGATGCAGTAAATCAAGATGTTGATGTATGTCTATGTATACATGGATAACTTGACAAAATACTCAAGGTCCATGTATCCTATAGTTGAACTATGTTCATTATAATACTAAAAATCACACCTCCAGGTCAAAAAGCCCCCTGCCCAGGTGAAGACCCTTCCCCTGAGCACGCATAGAAGTTAGCTGGGGTTATGTAACTTGTATGGGAATTACATACAGTCATAATAGAAGGGCTGTACTTGGACAGTCACTAACTCTGAGTTTCTGTGTATAAATAATGGCCTGGAAAGTCAGCTGGGGTGCGCTTGATTTGTGGAATACCACCCAGCACCCAGGTTTGCACGGCTCTGAAATAAATAATCAGTGTCTCTCTCGGGTGTGTAATTATTGGCTTGTTGGGTTTCCAGTCTTATTTTGTGGGCAACATGGGTATCTATGTCTGTGAGTGTCTTGGGCCTTGCAGGTGGTGTTTGTGGGCGAGAAGGGCGTGGACCAGGGTGGGCTGTCCCAGGAGCTCTTCAGCATTGCTGCCAGGACCCTCTGCCAGCCAGGCACCAGTGCCTTCCGCCACTACACCTCCGGACTCGTGTGGTTCCCCAGTAAGGTGAGGCAACCCCGTGGCAGCGGGTGGGGAGGCCACCTATGGGAAAAGGCGGTCACAGTTTTCTGGTGTGCTTGTTCCTAACCAGGCCTCGGGCTGTGAGGATAAGGACATCTTCTTCCAGATCGGGACACTATGTGGAATGGCCCTGTTTAACCAGCGCATGGTGCCCTTCCCCTTCCCCAGGGCTCTCTACAAAAAGCTGCTGGACCTGTCCCCCACGCTGGAGGACCTCGAGGAGCTGCTCCCAACTGTGGGCCGGTATGAGCCAGGCATGGCCCAAGCTTCGACTGGGTCTCCATGTGCAGGGAGATCCCTGAGGCCGATGAGCTGTAGTTTGGACTTGGAAGAACTAAGCACCCAATTACTAATGCTATTTTTTTTCTCTGATTTACTAATTATCCATTTCCATTGTGCTATTTTACACAGGCACAGTATTGCCATACACTGCAGTTGTGCCAGTTCTGAGAACAGGATCTCCATGCACTGGGAAAGGAGATTTCAGCCAGACATAGCAGGGAGAGGTGCTGCTGTCACCAACATAAATCTTTTTAGGCCCATGAAGCTCAGTTTTCCACACAAGTGCTATGAATAGCCAAGAGGATGAGAACTATATCCATAAGCCAGTGACTGTGCTGAGGTGCTAAAGAGTCCTAAGTGAACTGAAACATCAGATTGCCTGCAATACTTGGAGAGGTGCTTCACCCCAAAACAATTCTCCCAGATCAGCCCACTGGTCCATATTTTATAGATGATGTCTGGAAGCGAGGCTGTGGTCCAAGCCCACTTCTCACTGAAGTGTAACTCACTGAAGTGTACACTTTGTGTAAAGTTATCCCCACAAGGCATGGGGATGGACTTGCCTGGAATCCTTTTTTTACTGGAGGCATTTGCCCTTGCTCATGGCAGCAGCATGACATAAGTCAGGGCCACATATGATGGTTCTCTGTGAGTGTAGGTGTTGTGTATATGTTCTATATGTATATGCACTTAAATACTGCTTATCAAAGGATGGTTTTCAGCAGAATTTGAAAGTGCATCGAGTGGTCATGTTTCTTCTCTCTTTCTTCCCCTTTGTTTTTTGACAGGATTCTTTGGGGAATTTTGAATGAAGAATGTGATCATAACCTTGAGAGCATGGACATAGACTTCACGGTAAGACCACTGTGCCTTTCAGACATCCCATGTATGTACTCGGGCAAGACTGTCCCAGTGCAAATGACACAATTTGTCTGTAAACTCAAACTAGTAAAAGTGCTATGTCAGGCCCTGCAGGAAGAATGATAGATGTAGCACGTTTATATCTGTCATATGGAGAAACAGCAGCCAATGTTTTAATTTATTTGTGTAGATAATGGAAGAAGGAGATTCTATGGATGTTGTTGAACTTAAAAAAAATGGTGCTAACATTCCTGTCACTAAGGATAACAGGTCAGTTTTATTTTTACATTTCTTACCTTGTTATCTTGTTACAAGTGTATGAAATAACATGTCTATACCAATCCCCTTACAAAATACCAACTTCAGTATTATACCGACCATTGGTCTTGGTCTTTGTACACTTTTGGTTCCTGCTGTATTTGCTGCACATGTGTCAGACTTTGGCAGTTTGTGCAAACAGCAGATGAGAAGGGGATCCTTGGACATCCTGGCATCTGCATATACAGGTACCCGGAGTTATCAGAAAAATTCCTAACAAATGTATAAAATACCCTTGAACAGTATTTTCAGTGAAATACAGATTATTTGTCTGAAAAATCCAGCTATAGGTACACCTCCATAAGAGGTTTTTTTAGAGCAAAATGTTTTCTGCATTGTTACATCTACGGAATATATTTTGTATATAAAGGAGAAGGAGCAATCTGTCAATAAGGCTTTGTGTCAATATTAACCTCGGCACAGAGGACAGAGAGAAGTTCTGTGTCCTCAGTTATGCAGATGATCTGAGGACCCTTAGGGATTCAAGAAAGGACTGTTTAGGAAGCTTGAAGTATAGCATTTACATTGAGTTGATTGTGCAAGTACAATGTCACTACACAAATCCCCATCACAAGTAGAGAGAAGAGTGAAACTACTGATTAGCAGCTGTGCAAATAGTTATTTTGATTTCAGGGAAATTATTAGAGTGTTCACATGAAATAAAGGAGTATTACCAAAATGAATCCATGTTGGCCAGCATTCTCTTTTATTTGTGAACATCCTCGCAGTTTATTCAGTGAGTAAATAATTGCCAGTGGCGACTGATCTCAGTAAAGACTGAATCTTTACAGTTCAGCAGCTTGTGCAGAATAAAGGAATAAGGTATAAAGTTCTCTATAATTCTCCTTTTACAAAAGTACCTATTGCATTGCTCATTTGATATTTTTTCCAGGAAAGAATATGTTGACTTGTACGTGAATTATGTGTTCAATGAATCAGTGCAAAAGCCATTTCAGGACTTTATGCAAGGATTTTTAAGAGGCTGCCCAGCTAGAAGTTGGAAGATGTTTCTCCCTGTAGAGCTCCAGGTTGTTCTCCAGGGACACCCAACAGTTGACTGGCATCTCTTGGAAAAGGTATTGTATACTAGCATAGTGTCCTTCTGCTGTATCTGTGAAGCATAAACTACTTCTGACCTGTTCTTTCATTGATTGTATAGGTCATGAACAGATGGACAGAAGCTCAAGGGACTTTCTCTTTTTTTTACTTGTGTCATAGTTCTGTTTCTAATCTACATCAGATACAAGAATAAAGGAGACTAAGTATCAAGCCATAACTCAAGGATTGTCATAAGAATCTTTGAAAAAACAAATGAACAAGAAGATTCCAGAGGTTAAGAGGATTTGAATATCTATGAACAGGATTATAAAATTTATCATATAAAATGTTGTTGCTTTAAATATAAATGGAAATATTGAGGATTAACCGGCCTGTTTTATTTTTATGTCTTTGACAGAATGCGGTATACAGGCAGTATAACAAGTCAGATAAAACCATCAAAGATTTTTGGAATGTGTTTCACAAACTCCCAGAAGAAAAAAAGAAAATGTTCCTTGGTAATGTATCAGTAATTTTAAACTTTTCATAGTCCTTTTTTCTGCCCCACAACACACATTTTAGGTGGTTGCACATAAAAAATACTATAGTCTCAAACAGCTCTTCAACACATTTTCTGCTACCACATTTTCTAGTGAAAACCACGAAGGCTTGCCTGAGTGCACCTGACCACCTTGAACATTGCAATTACTTTATCCCTTGCTTTTGTGGTTGTCTTGTTGGTCAGAGGCCTCAGTTTGTGTGAGCAGACTATATTGATGTAAGCAGTTTACCCTTCTCAAAGGATCACCAAAGCTAGCTCATTGTTTTTAAATGTAGAAGGTCAGACCTAGCCTGGCCTTCCTCATCCACAAAGTCTAAATTATAAAGTAAAAGAGGGCTTATAATTCTTATTAATCAATAAGAGACTTTATTGTATTCAGGTAATTCAACAAAGCAAAATAATTAGCTTATGAAAATAGCCATATGTTTACACTGATTTCCCTTCATGATTTTTATTAGCATTAATTATTTTCATGATTTTCAATTAACATTATCTTAGTTTATTTTTTAATTTGCTTACTTTTTCTTGCCTTTTTTTTTTTTCTCGTTTCTTCAGGGTTCTTGTCAGGATCTGATCGAATCCCTGTCTATCGACTGGAATGTTTTAGATTTTGTATTGTAGATCCTCAAGCAAAAAATCCAGATGAGCTCTATCCCTCTGCCAGTACCTGCTCCCTCATTTTTTATCTCCCCAGATACAGTAGTAAAAGCATACTCAAGGAAAAGTTGCTTTATGCCATAGAGCATAATGAAGGTTTTGGCTGTGCCTAACTCTTTGTCAGAAGCACTTCAAAACAAAAATAAGCAAAAAAATCTTTGTTTCACTTGTTATATTTTTCCCTTTATAACTCAAATTTACTGGTTTCTACCCTACCTTATTTTTACTGTGCTTTATAAACATTTGTGTGTGTGTGTGTGTTATTTGCTGAGATTTTATATTGATTATAAAAATGATATTGGACCAGATACCTCATGGTTAGATTGTAAAGTTAGGAAAGAAGAATCCTATTTGAAACACTTCTAAGAAGCAAGCTGATAAGCAACTCTATTTATATATTCGTGCAGACAAGGTCTGCACTGTGCTGGTTTTGTTCAGTCAAGCTCACAGTGAGCTCACAGCAGCAATGTACAATAATTTGTACATTACCAACCATACAGACAGGATATGCTGAGCAGTCATCCTTGCGGGGACAAGCTAGGGTAAGGTTTTCGACTGTGTTAGTTAAGAATTCTCTTGGGGAGCAACTAAGAGTAAGGAGACATGTTCCTGCAAACCGTGAATTGAAGGAGAAGTCTGTGCTCACCTGGATATGGCCTTTGACTTGTCTGAGAGAAATGCTTAGGACAAGGATTTGGTCATTCCTAGACTTTTTCAAAAGCTGTATTTGTGAAGCATGAATGGACTTTTTATTATTTAGTGTGTTAACTGTGATATTTGTCACGTTTCTTTATATCTTCCAAGGAGATGTTTTGCAATTAAATCATAAAATTTTAGGCTTGCAGAACAGCTCTGTCTACAGAGCCCTGTGGACATGAGGCTTGCAGGGCTTCTGGAATCTCATTGTCAAAACAGTGCAGAGTACTGGCAGGATATTGACAGTGTCAGGCAGGATGTATGTTTTCTGTTTATTTTGCTTTGTGGAGAGACAAACAACAATCATGATTTTTCAGCAGTCTTCACTTTGGTCTGTTAAATGTATCAGGGCACATATGTAAAGAAGACTTTTACTGCGTTGAATTAAATGACAATTGATTAATTTTTCACCCCCGTGGTTGTGTTCTTCCTTCATTATGCATCTGCCTATCCATGGCAGCATATCTGTGTTTTCTGTCCCCCTTGATCTGGGGAAGCCATTCATAAGAGGATTCGAAGGCTGATGTCAGTGTATTTCAAAGAGATGTATCGTCTATGCTGAACAAGTAAGTCTTTCCTGTTTCATGCAGAATGTGCCTTAGATGAATGTAAAAATTGAAAGCGAGAAGTCAACAGCAGTTTTTATTTTCTGTTCTGTCTTGACCTTGTGTTGGGTATCAATGCGCACACACCCTTTTGGACCAGGATAAAATGTCAGTAAATGACACAAACCTTTTTCTTTTGTGACAAAAACTGACTGTTAGTGCTTTTTTTTTTTTTCTTTAGAAAAGTAAATGTTTCCTAGGAAAGACATGGGCATTATTTATTAATTTCCGGCTCAGTATAATGGACATTGTTACGTACTAAAAAAATAAGAAAGCTTCTTTTTAAGTTACAGTACAGTAAAGAAAAACATCAAGCACTCACCTCAAGCACCAGGGTGGTACAGGAAAGCAGGTGGCATGGCAGTTGTAACAAGAGGGGAACTAGCACCTCAGAGAATGCCAGCTGCCAGCCAAAGGGAATGAGAGGACCTGGCCCACTCAGAGCTAACCCCTGTCCCCCTCACCCACCTGGGGCAAACAGGACATCACAGGGATGCTTACATGCTCTGGGAAAGGCACCAGCTTGCTGCAGGTGTAATTTTGTGGAAAGAGGGAACTGGCAGAAGCCCAAGCTGTTGTCCCCATCCCACCCTGGGTGATGCTGCCATGCCACCACAGGTTTCTGTTTTGGCAGCTTAGCCTGCTGTTCATCAGCCTACTCTGGCTGCTTGTTTTCCTTTTTATGGTCTTCTAAGCCTCTGGTAGGGCTTGGAAACTGAGAGTGATCTTCTGTGTTGTGCAAGTGCATAAAAGATGTATCCTCTTTGGGTTTCAAAATAACCCATTAGGGATTAAATGATAATAGGTTTATTTAGAGCCTGAAGGAATTTCCTTCTCGTCATGTATGATGCAACATCACATGGGAGATTAAGGCCCAGAGTAACTTTCAAGGCTATTTTTAATCTGTCCTCAAATAAGCCCTGCTTATATATATATATATATATATAAAGACCTTCAGAGTAGAGCACTCCTCTCTGATTTTCTGAAATTAATTTGGACACTGAGCTGTGTCTACATTTTCTCAAGCAGTGCCCATTATAAGACATGCAGGAAAATATAACATGAGTGAGCATCACATTCAGCTGTGAGTTTAAAAGGCTTCAAATAGGCAGCAAAAGTACACTGAACCTGCAGCAGGAATTTTTTTTAGGCGACTTGTCTGATTTGAACATCACCTGTAGAGAAGCACAAGAGCCTGGCAGAGCTGGTGACGTAACCAGGGTGGATCTGGGGCAACCAGATCCATCCTAAGCACTTCTCATGGCTTGAAAGCCATGAGAAATTAAGGAGGTGTCCTGGTGAAATGTGTGAGGGGTGAGGTTCGCGATCAAGTTGCTGCAGAGAGGACACTACACAGAAATACTGCTTCCATGGGAGGCAGTGGGATATTGCCTTACATGGCTAATCCCCAGCTGAGCCACTCTGAAGAGCTCTTCCCTAACATGGGAAGGGCCAAAAATGAAAGAATGCAGAAGAGTTATTGCTTTTACATCAACACAGAGACATCAATGGGCACAAAGATGGACTTTTGCTACTCACAAAAGCTTTCTGGCCCCGGTGTCTGGGGCATAGACTTGTGATGCATGGGGCAGTTTCCCTGTGGAGGTGTGCTCTGTGTTGGCTTTCGTGCCCTCCTCAGGCTACCAAGTTGGTGAGATGCCTGACAACAGGCAGGGCTGACCAGGCATAAAGCGTTGCTGCCTCTGCCCAGTCCTCTTAGAAGATGTGTGCCATGGCCCATGGGGGCAGAGAGCTATGAAGGGTACCTAGTGAAGTGCTCTGGAGGAAAACACCTACTGGAACAGGGTTTGCAGGACAGGTGGAAGGCACTACCTCGTCTCCCTTTGTGGAGGTAACTCTAAGGAGCCTGTATTACCACAACAATCAGGAGATCTCATCAAATGCTTGCCTATGTGCTTCTGGATACTGGACTGCTATTCAGCTCCTCAAGGGACAAGAGAGGTGCTTTGGAAATCAGGATGAAATGCAGATTTTGTCATCTCTGGATATCTTCAGATACCTGGTCTCTGGATGACCTAACCCATGAAGGAAATGGTGAGCTATGCCTTCTTCTGGCAAAGGTCCAGCCTCGCCATGGGCACACCTGTGGCAGCCCTTAGCCAGCAGGGAGACCTGAACTCCAGCCTGATCCAGCCTGGCTGAGCCCAGGTGAGGAAGACCCATGGTGCAAGGAAACCTGGGCTCTTAGGAAGAAGAGGCTGCAGTGGCAGCAGCAGGCTCCAGAGGGAGGTGTGCACAGCAGAGTGCAGGGACACCACCAGAGAGGGTCTATTTTGGTGTCTTTATTTAAAATTGTATCAATTTATGAATGAAAAGCCTTGAAAGTTCTCCACAAAATTAAAATGGAGCTTTGCTCCATCATCTATTTCTTTTTCTTTTCATTTTTTTCTGTGTGTACCTTTCCGTCCTTGATTGCTCAGTCAGAAAAAGAGGAAACCAAGTGTAAAGGGAAATGCTTACTATTTTGCAAAGATCTCCAGATGATGAAATAAACAAAACAGAAACAAAAGCAAACACAGAAAATATTTTTTCCTCTACCTACACTTTTAGTTATTCTAGAACCATAGAATCAGCTGGGTTGGAAAGGACCTCTGAGATCATCAACTCCAACCCTTGATCCAGTACCGCTGTGGTTACTAGACCATGGCACTAAGTGCCACATCCAGTCTCATCTTAAAAACCTCCAGGGACAGAGAATCCACCACTTCCCTGGGCAGTCCATTCCAACGCCTGATTACCCTCTCTGTAAAGAATTTCTTCCTAATATCCAACCTAAACCTCCTCTGGCAGAGCTTAAAACCATGCCCTCTTGTCTTCCTGATAGCTGCCTGGGAGAAGAGATCGATGCCCACCTGGCTACAACCTCCTTTCAGGTAGCTGTAGAGTGATGAGGTCTCCCCTGAGCCTCCTCTTCTCCAAGCTAAACAACTCCAGCTCCCTCAGCCTCTCCTCATAGGACTTGTGTTCGAGTCCCTTCATCTCGTTGCTCTTCTTCTGGACCTGCTCCAGCACCTCAATATCCTTCCTGAACTGAGGGGCCCAGAACTGGAGCTGCTTGTAACACTGCTTAAGTCAGGCCTGTTACACCACAAGTGTAATTTAACACTAGAGTGGCTCTTCTTATGATGAATACGCATGATCCATGCAAATACAGGTGATTTTTTACCTGATATGTGACACATTGCATGACAAGTGCACAAACATTGCAAACTGCCAGAAATATAGTATAAGGGCAATGAATCCTGTGGGCACTGGCCTTGCTTGAGGGACCTCCCCTCCCCATCCTGAGCCCTTGCAAACATCTGGCTGAGGTTTGCTCAGATATTGACTGTCAAAATGGTGGTCTGAATGGGATCCAGCTTGTGCATTGCTCTTGTAGGGTGCAACCTTTTTCTAATGGATGGCATTAAAACCAGAAAATGAGTACTCAGGAGTTACATAATTGCTTGCTCATTGGCCTCTTTTTTTCTTTTCCCCTTCTTTCTCTCAATGGAGATTTATACTTTGACAACAAACCTTTTCCTGAGGTTGAAACTTTGTATAAAACGTATGCGTTCCTTAACAAACTAGCCTGACAGCTGCCTGGAGGCCATACAAAATGCAAGATGAAAAAACAGGCTAAGGGGAAAGGAACTGACTTATTGTCATCCACAAGTGATATTTCATGCTTATCACATTTTCAAGCAGTCTCAAGCTGGCTGTCCCCTGAGAAACCTTCATTTAGATCAGCTTAAATTCTAGAATGTGCTAAACTTTGCCCGCTGATTCCTGCTGTCTTTAGAGCGGCTGCTGACCTGCTCACCCGGCGGGGCTCGAGCTCCCGGCGCCCGTGCCCGCAGCCTCACTCCCGCGGCATTCCAACACCGGCGGGCAAGCCGGGCGGCCGCCAGGCGCTCTGACCCCGAGCAGTGCCCCGGCTCCAGGGAAAAGAGATTCCCGGCTCTCCCTGCGCCCACCGGGGGCCGAGCCCGCCCTGCGCATTGGCCGCGCCGCGCGTCACTCCCGGCGGCGGCGGCGGGGGGGCCGGACTTCCCTTCCTCGTCGCCGCGGCGGCAGCGGCGGGGCCGGCGGCGGGTGAGTGCCGGGGAAGGAGAGCCAGGATCGGCGGTGGGGCTGCCGCCGGCCCCGGGGCCGACACGGTGCGCGGGGGAGCCGGAGCCGGAGCCGGGGCCGGGGCTGGGGCGCGGCGGAGCCCCCTGTGCCCGCCGCCCTCCCCGGCGCAGGACGCGCGTCCCCGGGCGGCGCCTCCGCGGGCCGGTGCGGGGAGCCGGGGGCGGCCGCTGCTGCTGCATCCCCTGCCTGCGGGGCGGGCAGGGCTCCGCTGCCCAGGGGTGTCCGGGGCCGCTGCTGGCGGTCCGGGATCGGTGGTGTGTGTCCGCGGGAAGCGGCGGTCGGGCCGTGGGAAGCAGCGCCAGCAGCATCACAGAAGCCAAGAAGCCCGTGTTCGGGGTGAAGGCAGGGAGGTGTTTTTTACTGGGATTGCAAAATGGAGGTGATGGAAGGGGTGGATGTCTTGTTTGATTTTAGGTATCTGTTTTTAAATTTTTTTGGGGGAGGGGGCACATCCAGCTTAAGGGCCCGTAGTTGTGCAATGGAAATGCTCTGTTCCTTCTTTAATTCATTTGCTGATACATCTTGTGTTCTCTTGCTCTATAGCCTAGTTTACATTGGACATTGAGTGGGACTAAAACGGAGGCAGAAGGAAGAAGAAAGTGGGCTTGGAGCCTTAGTGGCAGAAAGCAGCAGTAAATTCCGTCATTGTTGAGCAATGCTGATAGAAGGAGCACATTTGCTAGCTGAAATCTCACAAACAAGAGGGAAGGAAAAACTTGTTTATTCATGCTCTGCCAGTTGGCAATCTCTTTGTTTAGAGAGCATTCAGCTTTGAGTGTTGCTTGTTGCAATCAAGTTATTTACTTAGCTGACTTTCCCAGAAAGGGCACAGAGTAGAAGTGGCTTTAAAATATGTTTGTGTGATTGTGTGAAGAGACTTTGTATGGC